CACCCCCCTGGTCCCTCATCTCCATCCCCATGGTCCCTCATCTCCATCCCCATGGTCCCTCATCTCCATCCCTCTTGGTCCCTCATCTCCATCCCCCTTGGTCCCTCATCTCCATCTCCCCCTGGTCCCTCATCTCCATCTCCTGGTCCCTCATCTCCATCCCCATGGTCCCTCATCTCCATCCCCTTGGTCCCTCATCTCCACCCCTCCTCAGGTTTCATGCGGGAGGAGATGACACGGCGGGAAGAGGCCGAGATTCTCCGGAGCCACCAGAAGCCGCGGAGCACCGAGGGCTGGGGACTTCTCCTGGCCCTTTGGTACTTGGCCTTCTACAAACCCATCATCACCGAGAGTCACTTGAGGAGGAAGAACATCAAGTTCATCTTCATCCGCTTCAGCGCTTGGCAATACGCTGGCTGTGACAAGCTGTGGGCCGGGTTGGTCACCACCCTGTGTGACAACATCCGCCACCACTTTGGGGCTCTGCCCCTCAGCGTCTACCACGTCATGGGCAGCCGACCTCAATTCGCCTCCGGCTTCAGCCAGAAGGAGTGGGTCCTCAAGACAGACACCTGCCTCAAGCTTTGGGGGTTGCTCTTCATCTTGGTGGCCGGTCTCGGTGTCCTGTTGGTGGCCCTCTTGATACCCAACATCAAGGACAATCACGCCTTGAAGGTGGTGGGTAGCGCCATCACTTCACTCTCCGGTTCTGGTTTGGTGCTGGGAGCTTTGTCCGTCTTGAAGAACCTGTTGGTCAGCGAGAAGCAGAAGATTGAACGTTTGACCAACAGCGAGAAGTTTGCCAGTCAGTTGGGTTTCATGAGCAAAGTACGTAGCGAGGTGGAGGTGCTGGTCAACTTCTTGTCCTTCATGGAGATCTTTGAACGTCGGCGACTCCGCGTGGTGCTGGAGATCACCAGCTTGGATATCTGCTACCCGGAGAAGGTGGCCGGTGTCCTCAACGCCATGAACACTTTGCTCTCTGATGCCAACACCCCCTTCATCTTCATCTTGGCCGTGGATCCCAGTGTCATCGTCCCCTGCCTGGAGCAGACGGGCTGCATGAGGGGTCTCGCCGACAACGGTTACCTCTACCTCAACCGGACGGTGACGTTGCCCTTCTCCATCCCGGAGATGGGCGCCCGTTCTCGCCTGCAGTGCCTGGAAGCCGCCGTCCAGACGCGTGAGGACCTCATGTACCGCATCATCACCGGCAACGTGGAACGGCGCCGGGCCAAGTGCCAGGGTGTCACCGCCGTCCCCAACCGCCAACAGGCGGACGCCGAAGCCGTTCGTTGTA